AAATTAAGATGCAGCTTCTTGTCATATATGAGCATGCGTAACAGAAAATTTAGACGCCAGGATCAAAAAACTTTATTTTAAAAAGATAACATTCACATGTGTTACATTTTATTTTAAAAAGATAACATTCATATGTGTTACACAAACATGTTCTTTGTTAAACTCATTTAAATAGCTTTACTTTTATTACATTTGAAGACGTAATTTCATTACAGACGGAGTTATAAAGAGAGTTATACTTTCCAAGTACATTGTAAATAAAATAATTTTGTTTTTTAGAAGCGTTTATATAAGTATGTATAGATGTATGAGAATCGAGAGTAATTTCTTTCATATTGTAATACCAGAAAATATATCTTTAAATAGTAAGGGTTTTCTTGTTATATCTTTCATCAGTCTTAATAGAAACCCATTAGTAAGTTCGACGTTAATGGAACAACCATTGTGTATCGTCTTTTGTACTATTTGAATGTGGATGTAAACATCAGATTTGTAAGACCTGCACCGATCTATCCACGAAAGCGCCTTTTTTTTGTGATACAGAGAGATCAGTGGTTATTATTCTATGAAAGAAAATTAATATTACAGAGTTAACCCTAATGCACGTTTACTTGTCTTAGTTTTTTTATCATATAGCGCTCGTCTTCCGGACTTTTCAATTGAATGTAAAGAAGTTTTTATGGAACTTTTTAATGAATAATACTGAATGTTTCTTTGCCAGTTTGTTATAATTATTTTATACATAGTCTGTATTTATTTTCTTTTACATCGTCTAATTTTTCGTAACGCTAACAATTCGCAGTGTGATTTCTGCAGGAAGAACAGCACAGATAACACATTTTGCAGCTTTGTGTTTAGAAAAAATAAACAAACAGTATAATAACGGAAAGAGCATGTTTTAGATATAATTGTACTTTAATCTAACGAGGTATAAAAACACTTTCTGGTAGTCTAATAATACTAGTAATCACGTCAAAATCTAAGAAACATACCAGTTTAAAAAGCTTTTTAAATTACGTCTTGGTTTCAATTTTTTTTTGTATTCAAAACAAGAACGACAAGGAAGCAACTGTAATAAAAGAGTTTCAAACTTTACAGTCTGTTAGTTTGTCCACTATTTTCACCAAAACTTTTTCCAGATGAAATCTGCATTTTATCTGCTTAGATTGGAATGACAAATATATATATATATTAAAGTTGGGTTTTGATTATAAAATATATGCTCATGCAGTTTAGCTGGTACAGATGTTATAAGTTTCCTGATTGTGTCAAGCAGACACCGCTTTCAATATAAAATATCAGCCTAAGATATCGAAATAAAAAAACATGTGACCAGTTGAGTCAGATACATATGGAGATTGCTGAAAAATAACAAAATGTTGGCAAAAAGCAACGCAGACGGCAAAAACTCCTATGTACTTCAAGACCAACATGTTCTAAACACTTCTTAAAAAAGTTCGTACCAGCTTAGGAAATATTAATATATGAAAGCTCGTTCGTTAAAGTCCTTAAAGC